GGTCTTGTGAGAAACGAGCGACAATGGTTATCTGTATTTGTTCGGGAGATCCCAATTTGTAAGATTGATTTAGTGAAGGCCAGGGCGAATGGTTTCGGCAAGCCACTACCAACCTTGGTAGGAAGATATGCACGTGCACAGCTGCAAAGATTTTGACTTCTAGCTGGTGGTTGGTTATTGCCAATACTGTTATTGACTACATTGACTGGATAGAGAATCGACGGTGTTGACTCCTACTTTATGAACTCAACACTCCAGTTCGATCGACTTAATTATTAGATTGACTCAACAACCGAAACAATCAAAATGAACCGTTGTTCAAATCCCTTATTGCAAGTTATAAGCATACGGTTCCGTGCTAATTAACTTTGCAAGGTCCTTGAAGATGGGAGAACCATTCGTGCTGTTATGAAGCCAAAATGAATATAGCCCTTTCATTATTCATTAGGAAGCAAATATCACCGGAAAGAAAGTACCGGCCTCAATGCAATACCAGAACATATTGCAAAACATATTCGTAGCTGGGAGACATCCCTCTAATATATTTCAAGCAACACCATAAAGACATTTCTTAATCAACAATGAGATGCTACACTTTCATCCCTTATTTGTGCGTGTTTGGGTTCTTATTTTACGGTCAAAAGCTTCCAGCTCCAGATGGCATCATAATATGCATGAACTGAATTTGCTCAACCACAAGCGATAACAAAGATATCCAAGATTGCTACTTCGCAGGCGTTAGGATGCGGTTATCTTGATGTTGATAGTTGAAACGCAGCATAGCATCAAACAAGAAAGCTCTAGGAGAATCTACGATGAAGTTGTAACAGTAGTTTTTAAAACTTTAAGCTAAACCAAGTAAATAACGAAACCTGACTCTAAAATGTCTAATCCATTATAGAAACTAATCAGACTTATCCTTATCCATTTCAGAACTTTCTGTCAGCTCCTGCAATTATAGTTTAAAATGGCATCTTTTCGTAATTACTTTTTCGAGATCTTTATTTTTTTCTATTTTTTGGTAAATTACAAATTTGATAACTGAACTTTTATATAATTTTATTTTACTATCGTACTTTCAAAATTTTCAATTTGCTTACTAACTTTATACATTGAACTTTTTTTGTTACTCCGCCTTTAAATAATTAACGGCGTTTATGACGTGGATACTTTTACCAAAACGACATAGTTTTGGATCTCTAAATAAAAAAAATTATATTTTTTTTCTTCATTTTTCTCCTTTTCTCTCTTTATTCTTCTTCATCCTCATTTCCTTTTCTCTACCGTGGAAATTGTGGAAGCATGCAAGGAACCAATAACAATTATTTGGTATTTTCATCCTCTTTATTTTCCTCTTTTCTTCTTCTTCACCTCATTATTTTTTGGTATTTTCGTTTTTGGATTTCAAAGAGAGAAAAAAACGATTTATTGTGATTATTTGGTTCTTGGAACAAGTCTATAAGATCTCCATTGGAGTAACTTGTGGATTTTGATGACTATTGATTAATTTGCAGATTGGGTTAAGGTTTGGTATATGATTTTGGGTGTAAATTTGGGGTTAAGGTTGATGGTAGGATTTGGGGATTAGGATTTTTTTTCCTGCTTAATTTTTATTTTATTAAATAGAATCTTATGTGGCTGAGTTTTAATATTAAATAAGCCATGTCAACAAGTTGTTAGTGATATAACGACGGAGTGACAAAAAATTTCAATGTATAAAGTTCAGTGAGCAAATTGAAAATTTGAAAGTACGATGAGTAAATAGGTATCACATGAAAGTTCAATTATCAAATTTGTAATTTACCCTTTTTTGTTATTTCTCTAAAATCTAAATATTAGTGATTAAAATAAAACCCATCAAACTTTAGTGATCATAGATGTAGTTTACCCAACAACTAATGACTATGAAATCAAAATAAGTTGCTATTAAACTGAGAGAGTAGATCTAAAGCCATTATTGCATGCAATAAGGTTGGCACTTGATGTTACTCAACAGTTAGTTTTTTCTACGGCAGAAGCAGTTTAACTAAAGCCATAAACCATACGAGTCACGCTAATCAAACTTCAAACAATTTTCCTACTTTGTACCTACCAGTGTTAGCTCCTGCCCATATAAACTGCTCCTCCGAGGATCCTCGTCCATTACCAACTCTCGTACGAAAACAGTACTTTCTTTATATTTCTGGTCTATTTGTTACTGTAAAGAAACCCTGTTTGAAAAAGGAAATGAAGCTCGTCTTGGTGACATTCCTTTTGTTTCTCTTGTTCTCAGCTCATTTCTTTGAGGAGTCAATGGCAGGTATATGAAAATAAAGCTGATGGAAAAAGAAGAAACAAAAAATAGATTGCCATTTACATATTTTATTGGTAACGAATAGTGATAGCGGTTCATGTATGGCAGGTTACTGTGCCTACAAGTGCAAGGCAAGGTGCTCTAAGGCAGAGTTTAAGGAGAGGTGCATGAAATCCTGTACAATTTGCTGTCAGAAATGCAGTTGTGTTCCATCTGCGGTTACTGAGAACAAGCATGAATGCTATTGCTACAGGGACATGAAGAACTACAAGGGATTGTCTAAATGTCCTTAAAACTGGGGTTTGTTTTGCCTTTCTTTCCTTTTCTCGTGACAATGTCGTAGAAGGCGTATATTGCTTGTGGGACTGAACGTCTTAAAGTGTTGTGGATGATGACCCGTTAAATGTACTAGATTAAGCTAATATAATTAGGCTTTTAAATGAATAAATGGTATCCTTGACTGGTTTGTGGATAAGGATCTGCATTTAAACAATCAAATAACCATGAAGACATTTAAATGATGATATTTATGTTAAATAAAGATTGAACTTAAACAATTGAAGACTATTATGGAACTACTAACAGTAGTTCAAGCATCGAATATTGAATCCTTAATATCTAGACTACAGAAATCAACCCACGATAACAATAGAAGATGCTAATTTAATGCAAATGCAGCATGCATTAGCCAATTAATATTATATTAGCACTTTATTTTTTTGTCCTGTAACTGACAAGTTCCAGAACTTGGATTATTATAGCAGACTGAAACAATTTTAGAAAACAGCATCTCGAAATGTTAAGAAAGTAAAAAAGAAGTTCCAAAAGGAATAACTTTAAATGGCACTGTATTCCAGATATAATATGCATCTGTACTCGGCTTCCTCCACAGTTGCCATGTTATATACATGCATAAATTTCCATCTCTCTTCAAGGTAGCATACATTAGAACAAATGTCAAAATGAGAATCATTTATACGTATCAGGGCAATGAGACTGCAATCAAAGAACAAGATCTTACATAGTAAATATTAATCATAGAATAGAAAGTGAGAACTTGACTAGTGATCAAACTAAAAAGAACATGAAACTCAGAGTTGTCAAATCTTACAGCATCCCTAAATGCAGCAGTATTTGCTGTTCTGCTGTCCAAGACTGTTCCATGCCTTCCCTAGTTCCCTCAAAGACCCCAGCTGGTATCTTCAATCGCTTTCCAGCAACATGAATTTCCTTAAGCTCATGTTGTAGTAAGGGCTGTTGACATTCAAAGAAAATGATACACCAATAACACCCTTACCTACAAGTTGATCCACGACCAAACATTATACCATCAGCTGGTTAATTGTAAAGGTCACCTGTTTCCACATTTTCATAACCAAAGACAGCACGCTGAGGCGCAAGTTCACTTTCATTCCAAAAGAAGCAAGATCCTCCCCAAGCACTGGAACTCATTTCAGTATACCGTCTATCATAAGCGCATTGTCTTTGCTCGTCATCACTTGGATTGCATTTACGGGTTGATAAGTGCTACACATCTGGTTCGAACCTCGGATTCTGGATTCTGACCAGAGATTAAAGTTCCCACTTCCCACAAAACTAGCAGTTCCCTTAATTCCTAACTGACAGATCTAGAGATGAAGAAATTAGACTAAGATTCTAAATCTATTTGCCTAACCTGATGATTGCCGCATTGTGAACAACTGTAGCAAGGAACATAATAAGTTACAGTACTTCAGGTGTCCACGATAAGATCAGAAGATTCCTGAGACGGCGATCCTATCCATAGCCGAGTGGTGCGGTAACTGCAAATTACCAAAGAAACACAAACAAATTTCTTCAATATTTCAAAAAATCCAAAAAAGAAAAGAAAAGAAACCCTGTTTAACCGTCGAGAGACTCGTTGGATAGGAGATCGTCGTGCGAGCATTCGAAGTGGAACCGGGGGATCTGTGATTGCGGCAGATGACGACGGAGACTGTCCGCGTGTCGATGCATGGAATGATTGCGCGATTATAGACGTACCGGAGGGACCATCGGCGGTCGTTAATGATTCCTGGCACAGGCATAGTGGATTAGTGTCAACCAATCATGAGAAGCCATGTTGAAGGAGTTTTGATCAAAGTAGACATGAATCTAACGAATGACCGTTATCATGGGAGGAGATATAGTGTATCACTATAGTGTTACGGCCATACGGGATCATTATTTTTTTCTTACGTGCGACTCTCTTAAAATTTTTTACTATTTTTTTTAATTGAAAGAAGCCTAAAACAGTAGGCTATGCGTGTATACTCTCATTAGTTTGCTGCGCAACAGCAGTCTAAAGCCAGGAGGTCTGCTAGCTCATCCGGGGGGAATCAAAATGAACCAAGTTGTAGTGTTGTCGTGAAGCTAGCTTTGCCATCCTATCGGTAATCTTGTTTCCATTCCTGCTAATCCATTGGATTTTTGTCAACCAGTATCCCGACTGTCGAAGTTTCAGAATTGCGCGAAGCAATGGAATATGGTTGTCGATTGATCTACTTTCTCCTACCAATTTGACTGCTCTGCTGCAGTCAAACTGGATCTATAGTTTGTGAATGCCCAAGTTTCTTGCAATGAGTAGACCTTCATAAATGCTTCAAAGTTCGGCGTGAAGTATCGATGTTGTGCCTACATTCTTTGTGAAACCTGTAATTCATTCTCCATTAGAGTACGGATAACACCACCAATTGAGCCTCGCCCATCAAGTGTCGCCACTGCATCATCCGTGTTCAAGCACATCTATCCTCGGGGTGGTGGAGACCACGTTGGATTTGTCACTTGTTGTATCGGATATATAACATGGACTTTGGAACTATTTGCATAGCATTTTGCCCAGTTATAGCTACTGTGAATTGTAGAATCTGTTTTGTAAGTGACATCCTTAAAAACATAGTCATTCATTTGCTTCCAGATGTGCCAAATAGAGCCGTAAAAAGAAGACCAAGAAGGATCGCCATCACTTACGGGTTGTTGCTTCTGAATATTTTGTGTGATCCAAGATTGAAGATCAATAATGAAGAAACTACCATATGCGGAATGTGGAACAACACGCAACCATAGGTTTTGGCTGGGTGGGTAATCATGCAACACATGAATTACTGATTCCATGGTTGCGCCACAAGTCGCATAAGAGCAGTCATTTGTCAGCATTCGCCTTCCGCGTTCATAGTTTGTCATGATCTTTTCTTTATAAGCAAGCCATATGAACATGCGGACTCGTTGAGGAGCGGCGATTGACCAAATATTCTTCCAACATTATTCTTTCTGGACCAGCTATCCTCCATGAGAATGTGTAGGTCGATTTGATCGTAAAGTGATGTTCATGATCCTATTTCCAGACCAGGGCATCGGATATATTGGTAGCCTCAGGCGGCTGAATATTAAGCATGTGAGGGATGACAGCTGGAACAAGAACTTGGGATAACGCCTCCACGTCCCAATGATTTTGTTCATCAATGAAATTGTGTAGCTTCTGAGTTGGGTGCACATGTGTGTCAGCTCGTGCATAACCGTATAATGGTCCCAAATGTGGCACCCACTCATCATTCCAAAAGTTTATGGTGTCTCCATTGCCTACCGACCAAACCAAACATGAGGATAATTGGCTTCATGTTTTCGCTATCCCTCGCCATAATGGGGTGCAAGTCTGTCTTTCAATGGACAAAGGATGAGCATCCTGGATTTTATATTTTTGTCTGAGTAATTGGACCCAGTAAGAGGTTCTCTTTACCATAATAGAATAACCAAGCTTCATCAGGAAAGCTTTGTTCTGCTTAAGAGGACGGATTAAACCCAACCCTCCTCTATCAATAGGAGTGCAGACCGTAGGCCAATTAACTAAGGATATTTTCCTTCTTGAGGGTTCAGAGCCCCAAATAAAGCGCCTAGTCTCAGATTCTATCTCGTCATAGACCCTTTTTGGGAAAGACATAACTTGTATAAAATAAGTTGGTATGGCTGAAAGGACCGATTTAGCCAGAGTAACATGCCCTGCCAACAAAAGAGTTCTAACTGCCCAACCATTTAATTTACCCCTGAATTTGTCGAAGATAAAGTCAAAATCCGTAACTTTCATACGACTATGAAGAACCGACACGTCAAGATATTTGCCCATATGGTCAACTTCTTGGAACCCAAGATATGAAATGATGGATGTTTTCGTTTCTGTGATAGTGTTAGGCGAGAAGTATATATGAGTCTTCCGTTTACTGACTTTGTGTCCTGAAAAGTGCCCAAATTAGGTGAGGATTTTCTCAATTTGCCTAGCATGAGGAAGATCAGCTTTTGCGTATAATATAAGGTCATCAGCAAAAAATAAATGGCTAATGGGAATTCCTTATCGGGCAAAAGAGAAGCCCTTCCAATCTCCTTCTTCGACGTATTTACGAATGCTATGAGAGTCTTTCCATTACTAAAACAAATAGATATGGAGAGAGAGGGTCACCTTGTCGGATACCTCGTTGTGGTTTGAAATCTGGAGTGTATTCACCATTCCATTGGATTTTCATAGAAGCCGAAGTGATACAGTGTATTATGACTCGGATGGTGCTGGCTGGGAAGCCAGCATCAGTGAGCGAATCTTGGATGAAATCCTATCGGAGACGGTCAAAAGCTTTTTCGAGATCCACTTTGTTGACGAAAATGGGTAAAGAAAACGAAAGACACGAGAATTTTATGAGGTTCGGCAATGTGCTTACGTCCTCGGTGCCTAGGCGGCGCTAGAATTTTATTCAATAATTTTTTAGGTCTAGGTTACATCTCTATTTATAATAGAAAACCCTGGTACATAATTACAAATCAACCCTGTACCGTACCGCGGGGCTGCGCCCCCACACCCCCACCCACATAATTCGTAACCCCACAACGAGACTTTTATGAGCCATACATAACACACTTTAATTGACATCCAACCTTGTTTCGTCTTGAGTTGCCACATAGAGTGGATTACCTCCTGATTTATAATAACTTTTTGTAATAGAGCGCCCATCGATAAAACTCGTTTGATTCGGCATGATTAAGATAGGCATCAAATGCTTACTGCGGCGAATGATGATTTTAGTGATGAGCTTATACATGACAGTGCATATGCTGATGGGCCGGAAATCATGAAAAGTTACTGGAGCTTCTATTTTTGGGATTAAAACAATCATTGTTTTATTTATATCGGCTTCAATATCACCTCCTGTAAAGACCTTTTTAACCATGCTGCAAACAGAATGAGACACCACGTGTCACTGCTTTTGGAAAAATTCTGCATGTAGGTCATCATGGCCAGGAGCTTTTAGAGGGGCCATATCTTTCAGAGCTTCAAATATTTCCGTATCATTTGGAGTGATAACCATGGAGTCCTGCAGATGTGCCGGAACTGCCGGAAACAACCTGAAATAGGAAATTTTCCTACCACTTCCTCATCACAAGCATAAATATTCATGAAATAATTAACTGCTTCTTTCTTGAGTATATTTGTGTCATAGCACCAGTCATTTGAAGGGATTTTTATTGGCAGGATTTGATTCTTTTGTTTTCATTGTACGACACTTCTATGAAAGTATTTGTATTACGGTCACCTTGTGCAGTCTAATTGACTCTCGATCGTTGTTTCCAAAGTGTTTCCTCTTGATCTAAGAGTTTTTCTAACTCGATGAGGAGCTCGGCTTCAAGGTTGATAAGGAAATTCAAGTGGAATCTATTAAGGCTTTGTGCACTCCTCGAAGTCTTTCCATAACAATTTCTTTTTTGTGTCGATATAACCAAACATTGTTTTTGTTCTATGTATCTGCTGCTTCAGTAAAATGGGAAATAGTGCCTGAAAGAGTCTCAGAGTTTACCCAATTATCCTCCACCATTCGACTAAAGTCATCGTGTTGTAACCAGCTAGAGAAGTGCTAAATTGAGATGGATAATATTGGCTATAGGGTTGCCGACACAGAGGAGAAGTGGTCTATGATCAGACAATATTCGGTGAAGGTGGTGTCAGCTGTCTCGGGATAAGATTCATCCCATTTGCTATTACATAGAGCTCTATCAAGACGAGCATAAGATAATCCCCTGTTTCATGTAAATTCAGGACCTTGGAATCCCATGTCGCGGATACCAAAATCATAAACAAAATCCTGAAAATTTCTGCAAGGCCAAGTAGTAGTTGCACAATTCTTCATGTCGAAAACAATAAGTGTGGCATTAAAATCTCCCAAAATTACCCAAGGGGTAGTAATATACCCGGCTAGGGAGCGAAGATGAGGCCAAAGCAACTTCCTCTTTGTTGAATTCGGACTAGCATATATAAATGAAGCTAAAGTCGAGAAATTTCCTTGGGTGGTAGAGATACGACAGTGGATGAATTGGAGATAATTGAGAAGTATATCAACTTAAATTTTAACATGCCAGCATAACCATATGCCACCTGAAAAACCTGCTGCTTCAATACGATAAGAGCGAGGGAATCCGATGGCAGCGATAAACACATCCGCTCTGCCACCACTTATCCGAGGTTCAAGAATAGCTACTAAATCTAGTTTAAAATCACACAAATATTGTCAAAAGACTGTGAGAAAACGAGGATGGCCACACCCCTGGATATTCCAACTTATTAGTTTAACAACCATAATAAGAGGTAAGAATAAAAAACCAGATCATTCCATCATGGGAACCGGCTGACTTTCAATGCAATTGTTCTGCATGGCATTCGTACATTGTGCAGGATTAGTGAGATTACCATCTGTTGAAAGATGAGTTTCATCACTTACTTGAGCGTGGTTTGTATACGGTGGCTTATGTAGAATTAACTTGTGTTGGGAGTTCCCTTGTGTGGCGTGCGAGATGATATCATATGTAGTGTTTTTCGATAGTATGATAGTCGAGTGTTTCGATCTGTCTAGTATTGAGACGCGTGATTCCACAGTGTTTTGGCGGGGTTGATGACTTGAGTGCCCATGGTAACCTTTAGAGGATCTAGCAGTTACTTTGGGGATCGTTAAAGATTTACGAACAGGAGTTGTAGCCTTGCTCTTTGCAGCTTGATGATCACTGGAGCGTGCTTTACTCGACTGTGCTTGAGGTTCCGTGGAAGGAGAATGAGTAGCCTGGTTGGTTTTTGAAAGTTGGTTTGGCTGTTCAAAAGCAGTAGCATTTGCATCATCAGTGGATTCATATAGAGGATTGAATCTCGAGCCATTAGTCTCCATATTTCGCTCGCTATCCATAGGAGGTTTTTTAAAGTTTTTCATTTGCCTTCTTTCTACGACCATCCACGGTCCGAAGGGTTTGGATTTTGGTTGACATTCGACAACTGTGCTTCAGTAACTTGTTCTTTTGGAGAAGCATATTCTTGTTGGTCTTCAACAGTGTTTTCAAGGCAGATGTATTTAACATGTCCATATCGGCCACAAGAGAAGCAGATGGTAGGCCGTGATTTGTATTCAACGATTTGTACACGACCATTGATTAAGAGTTTCGAGGTTAGTGATTTTCCCAGATCCACGCTCACCGCCATTCGTGCAAAGTGTCCTCGATGCCCCGTTTCTATTTGGTAGTCAATTTTAACAACCTTCCCAATGTATTCGCCAATTTCAGTGATGAGACTACGTTTATAAAGAGTTATCAGTAATCCCGGGAGCCGGATCCATGCCACAATTCGACGAGGGAATAACTGTGAAGAGGAAAAGTCAGGCAACCACAGTTCGACAGTCAAATAATGTTCGAAGATTGTCCATGGACCATCGGCGAGGGCTGTCAAGAAATCTGATCACTTTCGCAACAAACAAGGAAGTAATCGTTTCTATGTCCATGAGGTGAAAGGGCTGGGATGGTTTCCATAGATCATAAAGCTTATTCCGAAGGGTTGTGTATCCAATACGCCTCCCAAGTAGCTTCACCATCACAGTCTGATCGAAACTCTTATTGGCAATGGCTTGGACTCGGTCTGAGAAATCAATGGATATTAAACCATCCACGATACCACGAACGACATCGTCTTCAAAGACTTTGACATCTTCCTCATCCATTATTTCTTCATCAATCGAATGATCTGTGGGATTTTCTTTGAGTAGGGTATCACTATATGATATTAGGCCAGGCGAAGTTTCTGTGGCTTTGCTGATCACCTCGATATCCATGCGGTTGAGAAAAGTGTCACCTGTGTCCGGTGGCTCTTTGTCAAGTCTGTGTGACTTCTTTGGCAGGCGATCCTCCTGCGGCGCTAGGTTTTCCATCCCGTCCGTATCTTGATTGGAATAGCAAGTTTTTGATTATACAATAAAGCCATATTTTTCACTATTTTAATCATGGCTTATAGTTATAGGATCGCATTCTCAAATCACAGATGATATAGGACACTCAAGTGTAAAATCCAATAAACGATGACTATGATATTATTCACCACATGATTAATTATTTTAATATGTACATTTTCATGAAATTAATTTATATTGTAATTCTTTTAGATAATTGTCTTCATCTTCCCTCTTTCTAGAATGCAAACGTGTCAATTGACATACTTTGAAACATGCGTAACAAACTAACAATTGATTATGTTAAGAAATGTGCCCAAAGATCATTAATGGCGAATACGCCTTGTTTTAGGAAAGTTTAATATAAAATAAATGTTTAAATTATATATTTTTATTTAAGTATTTATTATTTTTAGTTAATTCAGGTATTTAATATTTTCAATGTTATATTTTTAGATATTTGAACCTTTACCGCCGTTAAATTTTACTGTCAGACACCTTGATTAATGGAAAAAATAAACATGTGACACCCTAATCCATCCAACCCAAAGTCTGGAGGATTGAAATGTCACATGAAACCACCGAAGTGGCAAATCATTCTTTTAAATCATTAACTATAGCTATAATTTAAAATCAATAGTTTGAATACAATAATAAAATACTTTTTTTTATAAAATCGGAGCTTCATGACACATAATTTAAATAAAATAATACAACTCGTGTTTACAATCCCAAATACATAAGTAAGGGTCCTATGAATACACATGTCAAATACAAGTAACTAAATAATGCTCTGTGAGGAATGTTGGAAGTCCTGCTGCGATGGTGCTCCTCGAACGACTCAATTTACTAACTTGGGAACGGAAACATCCGAACATCGAGCTTACAAAGCCTAGTAGTATAATCGCTAATCTAGAGCAGCATATGAATATCATAAACATAAGCGAGATAGATGACATGATAATAAGCAGTAGGTACATGTATGACCATAATCAAGTGCTACCTACTTATGGTTCAACAATTCTACCTCTTTAGTGTAAGTCTCACATTCCCCTTAGAGTACTTGGGCTAGGTTTAGGTTACACAACAAGCACCTTGCCTGACTAGTCTACTCATTAGAGTACTTGGGACGCATCCGGGTCACATAGAATCAGAGCATATGTCCAACTAGCATTTAAAATGCCCTTGCATTATTTTAGATATATCTGAATATTTCTCAAACAACTGGACGATCATCACATATACACACAAGTAACTTGGGTGTCCTCATCATTTTTCAAGTGGCAAACAAAGGCATAAGTCTCATGGAATCTTACCTCATAAGCTTCTTATGATTATCACGCATATATTATTATTATCATGAGGTTATTTTATCATTATTATCAATTTTAACACCGGTAGGGAGATCACTCCCTCAATTACTACTATTTCATTTGTTCTCTTTCCTATAACGTTATGCAAGAGCTTAATAGTATTTTAGTGTTTTATGCCCTTAAGGCAATTTATATTTATTGCTCCACTCTTGTTATATTACAACTAGCCCAATATTCAATTCGAGGATTAGTTTATTGACAACGACTCCCTAGTCGCTTTTGTCATATTTCTCATCGGTTCGCCCTTGAACCAGTAAGGCAACTAACACAATATTTGATTATGGATGTTCACATAGTACTCACTTTTCTCTATCACGCTAATCACGTCGTTCATCGTCTCACCCGTTGGTACATATCTTAGAATGATCCTTCATTCACGATTATTCAATACATGTTCAATTGAAGATACTTGAAACTATTACGTCTAGTATAGTTACTTCGATTATAACTCATTCCTATGAGTGTTTTATAAGCCCCTTTGACTATTTTTGTCCCTCACAGACTAAATTTCACCATCATGATCATCTTTAGCTCTTACAAGCCTTAATGAGGTTAACTCTAACCATCCAAAAGGGGTATATCGATACTCTACTTGCAGTATCGATACCCCATGATCAAGTATCGATACTCTTATAAGTATCGGTACCAAAATGGCTATTGGATTACAAGTTTACCCCTAGTATCGATATTGTTACCCTTAGTATCGATACCAGAGTTGCAGTATTGATACTCATTATAAAATGCCCAAAAATTGACCCAGTTCAACCAATATTGATATTGTTCATCCAGAATCGATATTCTAACACATAAACCTAGAAGTATGCTCAGAAAATGCTAAAAAATCCTCTCAAACACTCTAGTTTGGTTCTAAATCAATTTCTAAAGGTTAAGGGGTTTATTTAGGGTCATTTAGCATGATAAAAACACAAGTTTTATACTATAAACGTCATCTAAAATAAGAATGAAGTAAAACCTCCAAATATGCTCAAATACGTAAATCCCCAACAAGGCATCATATTTAGGAGTTTCATAACACAACAAAGGATTAGATATACACTACCTTAGATTAAGAATCTGAAATGAAGCTCATTTCTTAAACTATTCTTGTTTTTCTCTTCTCCATTTGCATTTGAACAGTCCAAACCCATTCTCTCTTTCAAAATAAGAAACCAAAAGCTTGAATCCTTACAATAATCTTGATGGAAGGATTATGGATGAATTTGACGTATGAGATAGGCTCAAGAACTTACCTTTGAGCTATAGAACTTAGAGAGGTAAAATGAGAAGAAAATGAAGAAAAATGGATAGGAGATGAGGATAAAAGAGATAAAAGTTCTCATCTTTTTAAAAATGGGATAATTATGCTTTTGGTCCTTTCTCATATTTCTACCATTCAAAAATCTATTTTTTATGGCTAATTAGGCCTAATTCCAACTCAATTAAGCCAAACAACTTAATTTATGAAATCCACGAGGCCCAAATGTCTATCGGGTAAACCCAAAACTACTAGGATAAAATTTTAGGTGTTACAACTCTCCCCTCTTTAAAGAATTTTTATTCTCGAAATTTACTTGGATCGACAAACACTTACTCTTGGCTCAAACACTTAGAAACCTTAAACACCTAGACTCTTATCGGGTCTGATCTTTCGGGAAGAAATCCTCGTAACCCAACATGTTACTCGAAACTCGTAAATCGATCTACGATTTTCTAAGGGCGCTACCTACATCGAACCTTAAGTAACAACCTTCAAGAAGGGCAAAACTATTGAGTCTTACACTGGTCATCCCAACACTAAATACTTAGCATAATTCACAAGGGATAACACTACTCTAGACTCAACTGTTGCTTCTATACTCTTCGCTTGCTAACCTTACTCAATGGAGTTAACTTAGTGCATAACCATATAGTCTCTTTTACTTGTTGAACATAGGTAACTCAATATGCTACACGTCGAGATCCTACGGACACTCACAATACACGACCTCGTTGTTATCTACTGAATATATGATGACAATTCACGACTTCTCAATGTCGATCTCTATGCTCCTACTATACAACTCTGATTTGATACTAATCTACACTACCTACATGTTTTTCATTTTTCTTGAGGTTCACATACACTCTATTACAGACATCTAAGGTACTCACAATTGAAAATTGGCCATTTGCCTAGCGAAACTATCAACATTTGGCTTTCTTGGAGAGTACACCTTACAAAGTATAGATCTCTCACAACCGCAATATGATTTAAGGATTTCAAACCTCTACGTCTTGCACTCACTATCGCTTACCATTACTGAGTTATTTAATGACGCTTAGCGCTAGTCCAACGATGCTTAATATACCTGATCCTCTTTAGTCTGAAGTAATAAGATCTATGGTACTACGCAATGCTGGATACTTCTACATATTGTACATAGCTCACGCTCATATAACAATACATAGACACTACTAACGAGGCGTGAGTCACTTAGCTAATTCATTTATTGCTCATGCAAGAAGACATCATGTTGATATCTGAGGGTTCATTACACCTCGAGAATCTTAACTCACTATAACACTTATAGTACCTTTAATACTAAGCTAAAATTTTGGGACCGTTATATTAAAACATACACCCTACTAACTTACCCATCGAGAGTACTTAGGGCATCTATGCCCAGTTAGCAACTGAAGTGCCTTGGCACTAGCTGAGATATATCATGATATTTCTGGAAACCAAAATGGTCATTATATTGGCTAGAGTAACTTGGGTATTCTTAACACTCTAATGGAAGTCTCTACCTCTAAGACTGAACCTGAGATTACTAAATCTCTGCGGAGTGATCACACAAATCCTCTACTGATGATGCAAAGATGTCATTGTAGTATTGTAGCTAACAAGACCACATGCAAGGATACTCCCTTACGTAAGAGTGATAGATTCAGTGACTATACATTTTTTAAAGTTTACCCTCAACTCAACAAGGAACAACCTCTCATACTCATAAGGTCCTCATACATCTCTAAACTTACACCTCCAAAATTAAAGTAACACTTGTGCTAAACACTTCCCTTAAGTTGACTATTGACCCAAACCCAAGTCTTCTAAGAATATCTAAGGTCACCCTAGTCTATTCTACTAAGGCCTTCCAATTAGACACTTAAATTCTCGCGCCTGGATCCTCTACACATGTATTTTTCCTACTTAGTTCACTTAACTCCATAAAAGAATACATACACTTACGTCTTCAAGAATAACCTGAAAACTAAGATAGCTGAGAACATACTTGGCAACTCATTTACGACATTAACATTCTGACCATGTCTCTCTATGATCTAATAAGATGTCTCGTGCATATTCAAATTGAAAACTGGTCGCTTCTCTACTATCATGTATGAGCAAAGAACTAGTACCTCTTTGTGTAGGTTCTCTGTTATACTGAGCTACTAAGGTCGCCCCCTGGATCGACCTGAAACATCACATTTCAAACTAGGACAGTCCCTCACCATGTGCATTAAGGATCCACATCTATAGCACTTTCTAAAAAGTTAAAAGCTCATTTATAAATGATTTTTGCCATAATTCTCGTACACTATTTACCTCAAAACTCTATCAGAGTCTTCAGAGCTTACCACAAATGATGAAGCTGGTGATTTCCTACGAGACCTTATATCTAACCTCTAACTTGGCTGGAGTGACAAGGATGACGTCACTCTCCTCTGCTCACACAAACCACTGGTCCTCTTTGTCGCTCACTGAGATATGTCAATGGTATACAAGTCCTAATACTTGGGTTGCATGATTCTCCCCGTAAACTTTTCCTTATAGTATGTACCCTTTCTACGGCCTTAGCCTGTCATGCCAATTCTAAGAATACCATAGGAGGGTTTGTTGTTAATTAGACATGAATACTTATATGAAGTCTTTCAAGGGACCTTCTACACCTTAAGGACTTAGTTGAAACAAATTCATAAGTATATCAAGTTAATCAAATGAAATCCCTCTTGTACTCAAGCATCATGCAATCTACTTAATTGGCTAGAAGGAATGCATTCTCAAAACGTCTCGTACACTTCACTTATGTGTTATCCTTATGCCCACTTAGAGAGGGATCTCAAGCAAGCATCTTGGGCTATAGAGCTACCTCTACACTCCCTTACCAGTCGATAATGTCACCATATAATAGAACAACGACATATCCAAGCCTATCATTGGAGGCAAGATAAAGCTACCTCAAGTCCTCATGGTTCATGTCAACAATTATAAAATATAATCGAGTCGTCATAAACTAAATCGTATAATTTTAAGGTCTTAACCCTCCTTAGTCATTTACCAGAAACTCTATCAATGCTATCATGCTCAAAGTATCCAGTTGAGCAGTCTATGCCTACAAAAAATGCCTATTATGTCCTAGAGCAGGGAAGTAATTCCTCCAAAAAGGTCATCTTAACGGCTTTCACTAACATCGACACTTTGTGATCATCTACCCTAGGAAAGAACTCATTGCTAAACACTATTGGGATGAGAGACACTACTCTTTATCTTACCATCGGGACTATGCTCGGAACACAAAACCATCACCACTTACATAACCACAATTACAAAGCGCAACCATCATCATTATTCTAGTCTTATAAAAGTACTTTCAATTCATAAGGACATGTATTCACTGACACCTTACTATAACCGATCACTTGGTCTTAGGACCGACTCAACCTAAAGCTCTGACACCACTAAATGTAACACTGTAATCTGATTCGACCTGAAGTATGGAAGATTTGAATGTCACACGAAACCACCGAAGTGATTTTTTGAAATCAATACCATAGCCATCATTTTAAAATCAATAGTTCGAATACAATAATAAAATACTTTTTATAAAATCAGAGTTCTATGACATATAATTTAAATAAAATAATATAGCTCGAGTTTACAATCCAAAATACAAGTAAAGGTCATGTGAATACACATGCTAACTAAAAGTAACTAAATAGTACTCTGTGAGGAATGCTGAAAGTCCTACTATGACGGTGCTCTTTGAATGACTCGATATACTAACTTGTGAACGAAGACATTTGAACATTGTGCTTACAAAGCCCAATAATATAATCGTTAATCTAGAGCAACATATGAATTACATAAACATATGCATACTAGAAGACATGTTAATAAGTAGTAGGTACAAGCATGATCATAATCAAATGCTACCTACTTAATGCTTGACAGTTCTACCTCTTTAGTGTAAGGCGCACGCTTCCCTTAGTCTCTACTAAGCGCCTCTCCATGAGTAAACATATATTAGGTCTCTAACATCATTATCATCTTACTATACATCATCATGCAACACATAATGATAATACCCAATATCACAAGGACACCAAGTACAACCACACAACAACAAGTAAGCTTCACGGTGTAGCTTGGGATCAAACCGCATTACAAAACTCACACCCCTATTTGCTTATTAGAGGTTACCTTTGGGCAAGGCTTGGGTCACACAAAATCAACATCTTTCGAGTACCTCAGGCAAGGTCAAAGTCATACAACATCAACATCTCTAAAATATCTTAGGCTAAGTCTGTGTCACACAGCATCGGCACCTTGCCTGGATAGTCTATTCCTCAGAGTACTTGGGACGCCTCCAGATCACATAGCATAAGAGCCTACGTCCAACTAGCATTTGAATTGCCCTTGTATTGATTTGGATATATATGAATATTTCTCAAACAACAAGATGATTGTCACACACACACAAGTAACTCGGGTGTCCACATCGTTTCTCGAGTGACAAACAAAGGCACAAGTCTCATGGAATATTACCTCATAAGGTTCTTATTGTTATCACATATATAATATTATTATCATGAGGTTATTTTATCAATATTATCAGTTATAACACCGGTAGGGGAGACCACTCCCTCACTACTATTTTGTTTGTTCTCTCTTCTAGAATGTTATACAAAAGCTTAATAGTATTTTAGTGTTTTATGCCCTTAAGGCAATTCATATTCATTGCTACCCTATTGGTACATAAAAACTAGCCCAACACTCATTTCGAGGATTAGTTCATTGACAATGACTCCCTAGTCGCTCTCATCAAGTTTCTCATTGGTTCGCCCTTAAATCGGTAAAGCAACTTACACAATCTTTGATTATGAATGTTCGTGTAATACTCACTTTGCTCTATCACACTAATCACGTCATTCATTATCCCATCCACTGGTACATCTCTTGGAATAATCCTTTGTTCACCATTACTTAATACATGTTTAATTGAAGATACTCAGAAATATTTCGTCTAGTACGATTATTTCAGTTGTAACCCACTCCTATGAGTGTTTTCTAGCCCCATTTGACCATTTTATCCCTCATATACTAAATTCCACCATTATGAATCATCCTTAGCTCTTACGAGCCTTAATGAGGTTAATTCTAACCATCCAAAAAAGGGTAATATCGATACCTGAGGTCAAGTATTGATACTCCTATGAGTATCGGTACCAAAATGGCTATTGGATTACGAATTTTACCCTTTAATATCGATATTGTTACCCTTAGTATTGATACCAGAGTTGCACTATCGATACTTCGCCTTAGAGTATCGATACTCCCATTATAAAGTGCCCAAAAATTTACCCAATTCAACCTGTATCGATAATGTTCATCCAATACCGATACCATAACCCAAAAAACCTAGAAATGGGCTCAGAAAAACTCAAATATCCTCAAAAACACTCTAGTTTGGTCCCAAATCAACTTTTAAAGCTTAAGGGGTTTATTTAGGGTATTTAGCATTATAAAAACACAAGCCTTACACTAAAAATATTATCTAAAATAAGAATCAAGTAAAATCCCCCAAATATGCTCAAATACCCAAATCCCCAAAAAGGCATCATGTTTAATAGTTTCATAGCACAACGAAGGATTAGAAATACACTACCTTACCTTAGGAATTCGAAATGAAACTCGTTTCTTCTACTACTCTTTTTTGTTTCTCTTTTCTATTTGCATTTGAACACTCCAAACTCATTCTCTCTTGCAAAATAAGAAACCCAAAGCTTGAATGTTGATGGAAAGATTATAGGTGAATTTGAAGTATGAGAAAGACTTAAGAACTTACTTTTGAGCTATGAAACTTGGAGAGTAAGAAGGAGAGAGAAATGAGAATGAAATAAAGAAAAATAGAGAGAAGATTGAGATAAAAGAGATAAAAGCTCTCATAATTTTAAAAATGTGATAATTATGCTTTTGGTCTTTTCTCACTTTTCTACCATTCGAAAATCTCCTTTTTATGACTAATCCGACCTAATTGCAACTCAATTAAGCCCAATGACTAATTTATGAAATCCATGAGACCCATGTGCCTCTCTAGTAAACCGAAACTATTAACCCAAAATTTAAGGTGTTACAAAATACCTAAATGAAAAAATGATATAATTTTGACACTTATTTTTATATTAAACCTTTTACGAATGATATAGATATGATTGTTGAATTGACTTTATTTTTATTTATTGTTAATTGATTAAATATTATAAAATATTGTCATATAAATTTAAAAAGCTTAATGCAAAAATGTGTCAAGACTATACCTAAAGTTAGGTTTAGGTACCTAATTTTTTTTATTAAAAATAGGTGTCTAACGTTTTCGACGTTATACTTTTAAGTGTATGCTATCAAATTTGATCGTTAAGTGACACGTGTCAGACTTATAAGAATTCAAAAAAAATTATTTAATTTTTTTGAAATTTTATATACCTGACACGTGTCACTTAATGACCGAAATTAAATGTAGTAACAATCCATACACCTAAAAGTGTAATGTTAAAAACGTTAGACAATTATTTTTAATAAAAAATTCTTTAGGCACCTAAGGTTAAGGTATAGTTTAGGCACTTATTTTTACATCAAACCAATTAAAAAATTTGAGGACAAAAACGTGACTAAAGATGAGTATGGATCTAGTTAAATTTTGACCTATAAAATATTACGCCCTTTCATTTGTCATCTCATCTAATCAAAATTTAGAGAGATTTCATCTAACTCGATTTTTAGAATAAAAACACACCCCATTCGATCCAACACAAACATATATAATTCATTTATATTAGAAAAAAAAATAAGTTAACTAAAAAAATAGAGAGATATATTATTACAATTATCCTTAAATATTTAAGGGATAATTATATTATTATCTTGCATCAAGTCAACTATTTCCCCCCTAAATCCAAGTTTGACCTGACCACATATCTTATACTTAAAAAAAAATCCGATCTTATACTTCAGTTGATAAGCTCTAAACACAATTTTATTTCAAACACTTGCCATAATAAAATAAAAAAATTATAAAATAAAGATACGAACTATCATAGAAGTTCCAAAATAGTCAAAATATGGTGTATTTCTTTTTCAAATTCATAGAAGAATGATTGTTGCTTATCATATTAGCCTTTTAATCCAACTACGTAATGTCCATGGCCATGGCTATAAAGATCACATCTAACTGTAGCATTCCTCAAGAGTTAATTAGACAACTAACAAGACTAGACAAGTACAAACACCCACAATAATCCCACACCAGGACGGATCAGACGAGTTGTAAACTCGGTACACAAAATTCTATTTCTACTCTTGTATTGATATATTCCTAGTGAAATTCTCTTATTTGGACAATCTCGTAACGTCTATACTTGTGTAATTCTATATGGTTACATGCTTAGCATCTTCCTCTTGCTGAGCCTGCTGAGCCAGACAAGCACCCATTTTCCATAAACATGGCTGCGCATCATCGGATAGTTTTTCCAGACCAGATTCAGCAAATCATTGTAAACATGGCCCTGCTCGATCAAGTATGACTGCACCAGTTCCACACAACAGAGGTGCTTTGAATAACAAATGAGATAGAAGCATTGATAATTAAATGAATGAATTTACACTCATAATGAAGTAGCTTAAGAAATTTATATATAATTGTACTACGCATAAATAGATTTACAAGTGCATGAAATGACAAAGATGGAAGCACAAGAGTTAAAGAACTATCTGACCTCAGACACTGCCAAAGCTGATTGGATAACATAGTTCCCAAATGGATCGACGAGGAGCCTAGACACGATAGGACTTCTAAGCAGCTCCTTTATGATTCTCATAGACTCCTCTTCTCCCCATTCCACCAAGCATTTCTCGACGACGTGGCTTCCATACCTATTGCAGGAAAGAGATGCAAAATTTCCTTGAAGCTGATGAAGAAGACTTTCTGTTATGTATTGATCTTTAAGTCCCAGCACATGTTGCACCACGTAGTTACTAGAGAAAAATGAACAAAACACAGGAACACATATCAGAGCTCAAACAAATTGAACATAAGTTCCACGCCAAAACAAGTGAGAAAAGAGAACCCCGCACCCATACTGATCTTCGGCTAGGTTTAGAGCATTTGCTATGATCTTTTTGACGAGACGCTCTCTTGCCTTTCCCTTAGAGTGGTCAACACAATGCTGCAGTGCACAACATCCACTTTTGTCTATTGCAATTTGATAACAGTTATTTGCCACCTCGTTCAGAAGATACTGCCGATGAAAACCGATTTGGACATAAACAAATGTGCAAAACAGATGTTGGTCAACAGCGGTACAAGGAAGAGAGAAAGCAGCAGTTAATACACATCTATTTCATTGTTAAAACGTTTTAGATATGAAGTACCATGTAACCTATGCAATTTAATTCAAATGACTAAACATATTTATCAAAATTACCAAGTAGAACAAATGCACAATTAAACAATTAAACTGAAACAAGATGTACATAGACAAAATGAAGCTTTAACTTGAATTGTAACCAGTCCAACTCTTGGATGTTTACCATATTAACTTCGTCAGGGAAATTTGTCAAGCAACACTGAATCACACGATGACCATTCATATCCTTGGTCAATGCAACAGCTCTAGGGATTATAGCAGACATTACTCTCGAGATTTGTTGTGGAGTAGTAAGCTTCTCCAACAATTTCTGTATAGCACGAACCCTGCCACCAAATGGAGAAAATATATATTAGAAACAAGACAACATCTGAAGACCAAACCTAATTAACCAAACATACCCATGAAGATTGAGACACATGTTAACAAATCGAAACCCATCATTAACAACCATCAAAAGAATGTGATCCTTTTGTTCCTCGCTACAAACGTCCAGAACTTTTTGAACGACATAGTTGGCAAAAGGGTCCAACATCAACTTACAAACATGACCGATGACCTCCATGAAAATCATTTCAATTTCCACTTTTGAAGCTTCTTGAATGGCCTGTTGTAAAAACCTACAACCATACTGATCTTTTGCTAATGCCACAAACCTACCTCTCAAATCACCTAGACTCAAACAATTCAAAGGATCTTGTGACCAACGAGGCATCCTAAAACTATTATTAGTCAGATTATTATGAAAAGTGTTATGACTATTAAATCTAGATCTCATTATATTCCTGTTGTTTGAATAACCAGTCATTGAGCAACCGGCACCAGGAGCGGCAGAAGCAGACAAGAGGCCATTTTGATTCGACGAGGGTAATATTGAGTATTCATGTGAAGGTTCGTGTCTTCTAGAATCAAACAAATGTGACTGATTCGAACTATACACGAAAGTCTCCCAGCTTTCAGTATCTGGCCCCACCTTCATCAACCCATCAAAACCCACCTCCGTACCCTCACCAATAACACCACTTCTCTCTTGCCCTGTTCTTGCAAACCCGCCGCCAAACCGGTACCCGGATCCGACCAATAATTCACCACCAAAATTACCCGGATGGCCTGTGTCTTCATTTTGGTGAATTGACAAATTAAGACGAGAAAACTCGGATTCTAGGGTTTGATCAAAAGGGTTCTTTTGTACCGTTCTTCCTGCAAAGGGAGGTCCTGAATAACTTTCCAGTGACGGTGAAATCGGAGACGAAAACGGCATTTTAGACTCCATCAGGGGGGGGGGGAGGGGAAGAAAAAGAATAACGAGAACAACAACAAGAGGAAGACAGAGAGTTTTTTAAGTTTTTTTTTTAAAAAAAGCACAGGAATTATAATAAGAAACGGGAAGATAAAGAAAGGAAAATTTAAATTGAAGAAAGAGTTATCCTAAAACAAACCCTTTGGTTTTAAAAGAAAAAAGAGAAATAGGGGGAGGTGGATTGAGAGAGTGAAAACATACGGCTATGGAATAACACTGCAGTATATACGGCTTTTAGGAGGGTTTTCTCTTTGCATGCAATTTATGGAAACATTTTCACGCCGGAATCAAAGTTTCAAAAACGTTACTTGGTACCAACAAAGAAACACACCTGTTGTCGTTTTGTCCTCTTCTTCTAAACTTTGATTATTTTGATCATGTTTATTTTGAACAATTTCATGTTACATAAATTTTGAGGGTAGTTCTGCGGTGCGGCGCCTAAAAAACGGTTAATATACGGCGTGACCGGTTAAACAAGTGACCGGTTAAAATTTATACCGGTTATGTTATATTATTTAACCGGAAATATTATAAAGTACAATAACATACTAGGTAGCGCTTATATAATGTAATAGGTAGTGCTTATATTTACCTAATTTATAAGTAAACCGGTATATTTATACCGGTTATATTGCAAATTTACCTATTTTATTATAATATGTTGAAAGTGTCCATAATTTTTATAAAAAGGATCGATACTTCTTTTAAAGTTATGTAATTTATGTTTCAATTTTTGAATAGTGTTTCATGTTTTCCACCTACAATATTAATTTAATAATTTCATTTGCACAAAAAATTATTTGATTATTTGATATTTTATAAAATATTATTTAGAATTTTTAATTTAATAATAATATATATCGTAACGTAAAAAATAAATCATTAGACGCCTATAATTACTAAATTAAAATCTTAAAACTCACTCAAAATATAACCTTAAATTAATGTTTTCAACAGTGAAAAAAGTATGGACACTTTTATAAAAAGGATAGACACTTTACAATATAACCACTACCTATTACATTATATAAACGATACCTATTACATTATATAAGCGCTACCTATTACATCATATTTTTACCTATTATATTTAAAGTGTCCATACTTTTTATAAAAAGGATCGATACTTCTTTTAAAGTTATGTAATTTATGTTTCAATTTTTTTTAATAGTGTTTCATGTTTTCCACCTACAATATTAATTTAATAATTTCATTTGCACAAAAAATTATTTGATTTTTTGATATTTTATAAAATATTATTTAGAATTTTTAATTTAACAACATTAAATATATATCGTAACGTAAAAAATAAATCATTAGACGCCTATAATTACTAAATTAAAATCTTAAAACTCACTCAAAAGATAACCTTAAATTAATGTTTTCCACAGTGAAAAAAGTATGGACACTTTTATAAAAAGGATAGACACTTTACAATATAACAACTACCTATTACATTATATAAACGATACCTATTACATTATATAAGCGCTACCTATTACATCATATTTTTACCTATTATATTGAAAGTGTCCATACCTTTTATAAAAAGGATCGATACTTCTTTTAAAGTTATGTAATTTATGTTTCAATTTTTTTAATAGTGTTTCATGTTTTCCACCTACAATATTAATTTAATAATTTCATTTGCACAAAAAATTATTTGATTTTTTGATATTTTATAAAATATTATTTAGAATTTTTAATTTAACAACATTAACCAAAGATAATAATAAATATGTAATATATATGTTTATTGTTTTTAATTTAATAATATATACAACATCAAACACATTCCAAGCTATAAATTACAAGCTAAGGACACTTGAAGAAGCAAGAGAACAACTATCCAAGCAATCAAAAACGAGAAAATCCCAACATGATAACAACTGAACATATCATATCAATGTTCAAAATCAAGTTGTAGATTTTGATTTCCTTTTGCTTGGCATCATATGAGATTTGAATTTTGATTTCCTTTTGCTTGGCACCATATGAGCTTTGGATTTTGATGAGCATCGGAAGTATTTCAGACTTATGATTTGGGTGGTACTCAGAAGCATTTCGGACTTAGATTTTAGTTGCTATTTGTTTACCACCCAGATCATACGCCCGAAACGTTTCTGACGCTTTAAAGTTGACCAAAAAATACAATGGTCTGGATTTCCCTCGCGTTTAAACGTTAGAAAAAAACAATGGAAATTAGGAATAATCAATGATAACATGCATATTGGCTTGGGCTAATATTTATAGTGGAGCCGAAATATATATTGAAATTCAAACTCAAATTGAAATTTAAATTCAAACTCCAATTACATATGAAATGAATTTGAAATGCGTTGTTAAATTGAACATGAAAATTGCATAATTTATTCATACTGTTCAAGTAACATGCTTTATGAACCATCAAGCTAAAAGACAATATTGATTGAGTTCAAAGCTGAGTTGTGAGTTGATGGAGTTGTCACACTTGTCACATGGTTGGAATAAAGTAATTTGATGTAATAATTTTATTTGCACAAAAAATTATTTGATTGTTTTGATATTTTATAAAATAATATTTAGAATTTTTAATTTAATAATAATATATATCGTAACGTAAAAATAAATCATTAGACGCCTATAATTACTAAATTAATATCTTAAAACTCACTCAAAAGATAACCTTAAATTAATGTTTTCCACAGTGAAAAAAGTATGGACACTTTTATAAAAAGGATAGATACTTTACAATATATTATATAAGCGCTACCTATTACATTATATAAACGATACCTATTACATTATATACTTGTAGTTATTGTACATACCTAAATATGTACTGCGAATTTAATGTTGTACCCACCCTTTAACTACCACTACCAATGCCACATCATAGTGAAAGCAGCACGACTGAAACATATTCAAAATGAACCTTTGCTTACATCTCCATCAACTCCTGGAGCACTGAACTTGCACAACAAAATTTTTGCCATGGATAATACTGATGTAGACAATGTTAAGCCAACCGAGGAATGCCATGAAGTACATAATGTTGATGAATCTGACAGATTGGTTGGTCAGCTCTTCTGTTCACATGATCAAGCTTGGCACTTTTACAAGGGATTCGCACGGGAACATGGGTTTAGTGCACGTAAGGGAACAACACGGCTTGACGTGGAAGGGGATGTGAAGACACAAGAATTTTGTTGTTCCAAAGAAGGGTTTCAAGTATCAAAAGTCAATACTGTTGATCGCCAACGTGCTCATACGCCAGTCACAAGAACAGGATGTAAGGCTAGAGTCGTAGTTACAGCAACAAATACAAACGATCAGTGGGTTATAAGTAAGTCTGATCAGAAACATAATCATGCATTGTGCACATCTGCTATGACACCATTTATGCGTTCTAATAGAGCTGTAAGTAAGGCTGATATCGATGAGGCAACAACATTGAAAGAGGTCGGTGTTGGCACGTCACAAGTAATGAACTATTTAACGCAGCAGGCAGGGGGCTATCATAATGTTGGATTTACACATAAAGACCTCTACAATGCACTTCAAAGAGGTAAAGCAAAGGAAATCGTCGATGGGGATGTGAATGCGCTTATTGCCTACTTTGATTATAAGAAACATGATGATCCCGAGTTTTTTATGACATACTCGGTAGACGAATCGGGGGCATTGTATAATCTTATTTGGTCGGATTCTACATCGAGATCGGATTACACATGCTTCGGTGATGTAATTGCGTTCGACACAACGTACAAAGATAATTTGTATGGTCGACCAATTGTGCCTATTGTTGGTGTCAATCATCACCATAACACAATTGTGTTTGCCACTGCCATAATCGCTGACGAGACGTCTCAATCTTTCGAGTGGGTGCTACATAATTTTTTAGAAGCCATGATGAATAAATCACCTATTTCTGTTGTAACCGATGGGGATAGGGCAATGCAGAGGGCTATCAAATCTGTTATCCCTTATGCTAAGCACAGATTATGTTCTTGGCATCTTTCTCGCAATGCACAAGCTAACATTGGTGACCCAAAGTTTACAGCAGCATTCTCAAAATGCATGGCTTCCTGGTGGACAACCAAGGAATTTGATATTCAATGGCGTTCGATTGTTTCAGAATTCAACGTCCACAAGCATCCATGGGTGATTGAGAAGGGAAATACACGACACTTATGGGCACAAGCATATCTAACCGGTCATTTCTTTGCCAATATTCGCTCAACACAAAGGTGCGAGTCTATGAATGCTTCACTAGCTATTGCACTGAAACACAAGAAGACATATTTAGATGTTGTTCGTGCAATTGAAGATGGAATTAGTAGAATGCGTATGAACGAGTTGAAAGCGGATTACTTAAGTTCCCATACTAAGCCCTTACAGATCACAAAACTGGTCGACCTTGAAAGCCATGCCGCTGCGATTTTTACCCGCGAATCTTTTCGTCTGTTCCAAGATGAACTTATACGGGAGACATTGTACCGGATTGAGGCAGAGATTAAGTCCTTATCAGATGAATGTCAACATTATATTTTGTCAAAGTACGCAGAAAAAAATAGGAAATTTGAAATTAGTTTTGATTCTCGTACGAAAACTCTAATTTGCTTCTGCAAAAAATTCGAGACCGTTGGACTTCCGTGTCGCCATCAACTTCACATTTTGAAGCAATTGGACTACACATATTTGCCCGGGACTTTGATTCAAAGTAGGTGGACTAATGATGCGAAGGCTTCTGCACCCAGCTATGTTGATTTGAATGTGTCTCCAGAAGTGATGCAAATGGCAAGGTTAGCTGCTCTACGTTCAACGTCAAGTAGGTTATGCTACATTGCATCAAAGACAGACGAGTCTTTCAAAACCGCAAGAGATGAGATGAAAAAACTAATAGAAGAATTAGAAAACTCTTTTGGTTTGAATCATTCAGTCAACTAGAGCATTGTAGTAAACAATGTACGTGACCCTCAACGAAAAC